ATTTACTTAAATATTTGTATCAATAAAAGAATGTATAAGCATAAAAATGTCTTATATATATATATATATATATATATATATATATATATATATATATATATATATATATATATATATGTACTGGATGTCGGAGAAAATAGTTCGTTATCAAATGTACCGATTTTAGAATCATAATTATTATTACTTTAGAAATCAAACAAGAAAAAAATAAAAATGCATAAAATTATCATGAAATAATATGAGAATATTTTTTATTAAAAATATTGTTAAACTAAATAATTGAAGAAATTGAAAATTCTGAACCAAAAATAAAATGTAGTAATGTAGAAAATAACGTTATGACTCGAAACGCTTTTCCTACAAATTTTAAGAATACGTCCTTTCCGTAAAAATAATGTTACGCTACTTTACATTGCAATCAATAAATAAGAAAAGGATGAATGAATAAAATTATTGTCCAATGTTGTTAAAAAATATTTGAATGATAAATGATAGAGAAAGAAATCGACGATAATGAACGAATAGCCAGAGATAAACAAAACAAAACAAATATTACTACAATTTCGAAATTTGCGTCCTGTTTCATAAAAAGAGAAATGTTACGCTTAACGAGTAGAATTATTCGTGTCAATGCATAAGCAATTTAACAAATACAATGTTTAAAGTTCTTAATATGTTATTATTATTTTCTTTTAATGTCAGGTGTATACTCATTTCTTTCCTGGTCACAACCAGAGACCTAAGGTCAAAAATGGCATCATGACATTTTCTACCGAGCATTTACAAAAGAAAAAAAAAAAGAAGAAAAAAACTATGAACACACACGTTTTACATGCATAAAGCCGTACGCAAGGTGCAGGCAGAACTTGTGAGTACATTTTTTTGTTTTTCTTTAAGGCTTGGGCTACCAGGAATCCTTTCAATGATTCCATTGGGACCTTTTCCAATCAAACCGAGATCTCCAACTGAAATTGGTGATGTCCTCACGTGCCATATTTTTGAGATTTCAATTTCAAGGTCCTTGTATATTCATAGATTTTTTGAAGATCTTCAAAGATACATTACAGTCTGCAGGGACTGCCATGTCAATAAGGAGGCACATTTTCTTTTTGTGGTCTCTGATTACTATGTCACGGCGATTAACTTTTTATTGTTCTGTCTGTGTGTATTGTAAAGTCCCATAAAATTATTACAGGTTCAATCTCTGTAAACGGGTAGGGGTGGTGTTCATTTGCAGTTTCCTTTCCGTAAGTGTTGCATATTTTTCAATGCAGATATTGGTCCATTCTGTCATGCCGGGTTTTATATTCAGTGGGTTCCAATACCGTACAACCTTATACACGATGCTCAAACGTTGCTGGATATTTGTCACAGAATCTGCATTTATCCTGATTATTAATTTTATTATTATTCTGTTGTTGTTGTTGTGTTTTACCTTTGCTTTGTGTGGCAAGAGTTGACCCCCAAATTCCAACCAGAGACTTCAAGAGAAAACAATTGTTTGTATCAGAAGATGCAAACAGATAAGCCACGATCCAATTTGATTTGGTTTGGTTTTACGGCATATCAATATCAATGGGTTATTTAATCCCGACAAAATGTATTTTGCTGGTAATATTTTGTTTTTGTCAAAAATCTATTTCTGGTAATATTTTTCCCTCAAAAGTATATTGCTGGTAAGTTTTTTTTTTCTACAAAAGTTTACTGCTGGTAATAATTTCTTACGAAGCATTTCTGGTATTAAAACCTATTTTTACACTTTTATAGTGTTTTTACCACAGTTTCGGGGTTAACTATTTGCCCATAGCTGGGACCCTAACAGGTGCTACCACCCCGGGTGAGGGTGGACCTGGGAACACCAGCAATTAAGAGGCGGTTTCATGCTCCTCAAAGCCTCCTGATCAGAAGTTTAGCTGTTGGACGTAGTTTACCGTCTTACCCGGGACGCGGATGTACTTTACCGTCTTACCCAGGACGGCATACAATTTGAGTGAAAATAAATATTTATGTAATTATGGTCATTATATGGAGACAATTCTACGCAACTTGTAAGAACTACCCATGAGTATTTTATTTTTTATTTTATTTTATTTTATTTCATTTTATTTTATTTTTTATTTATTTATTTTTTGCAATTTACGTATTTTATGGCTACCAGAATTTGAATCCACATATTTGTTTGTTCCTTTCATTCTCAAAGCTCCAACAACAATCGGTAATGCTTTGAAATACCATCTTCAATTACTACTACTACTACTATTATTATTATTATTAATATATTCTCACTTTTATTATCATTGTCTTCCTTTTCTTTATTAACATAACGGGGAGGCGGTTTAGAAAATTTCAGGTATTTCCATGAAGAGATCGAGAATTAAAAAAAAATAGTCAGAGTCCTCTTAGGTATTCAAAGATAAAATATTTCTCATACATTCTCTCTTGCAGTATTTGTGGTTGAGTGCCCAGTCAAAGGATGACATAAGTTGCCTTTCCATTGAAATGCTTTTGTTTCTCTGTTTCGCCGCTAGAGGGCTTTATGTTTTATAGCATCACATGAAACTGGTCGTTATTTTCAATGTCTATTTTTAACATCCATTCATTTCTCATTTGTCTCGCTATTTATTTTAGATGCAGGCCTTAATAATTGTCACAAGCTAATAAACATTGAAAATTATTCCATCTATTTTGGAATTCATCATCTCTCTGTTAGTATACAAAGGTCTATTCTGAAAGGAAACTATTTAATCGCCCTTTTTAATAAGTTTTATGTTCTTTCTTTTTTTTTTTCAAATTCATTTCTTTCTTTAAATGAAACCATTAAAACATAAAAATTTCCTCCAAGGCCACAATCCGAACATTTCATTTTTATTTGTCGTAATGATGCTAGTCATGTGCTATTTATTTTGAAAGGCTTCCACTCCTAATCACGTTATCAACACTTTCGCTTCGGTTATTTGATATTGCTTCATTATATATATATATATATATATATATATATTTATATATATATATATATATATAAACGTACGGGCTTGCTGAATGGTTATAAACACCACAAATTGAATCGGCAACACGGGTTCAAATCTCGACTGAGGCAGCTTCTATTCATTTTGTAATAGTGCCCCAACTCCGTAAAGCATGAACCCATCTTTGTCAATTCAGGGGTTACCAGCAATGGGTACATTTAGAAAAGCAGTTACAGTTCTTTATTTTTGTATGACTGCCCCTCTAAGATAAACCTTCTTCTCCTCCTGCTCCTCCCCCTCATCTTCTTTGTCTTTATTGGAGTCCTTTGTTCCTGAATAATTGTCCATATAAGATAAATCTTCTTCTTCTTTCTCCTCCTCTTTATATTCCTCCCCCTTCTTCTTCTTCTCCTTCATCTTCTTCTTCTCCTTCTCCTCCTCCTCCTCCTCCTCCTTTTTCTTTATTTTCTCCTCTTCCTCCTCCTCCTTCTCTTCTTCCTCCTCATTATCCTACTTCATGTCGTGTTCTTTTATTAGAGTTCTTTATTCTTGAATGATTGTCTATATAAAATAAACCTTCCCCTCATCCACCCCTCCTTCTTCATTCTTCTTCTTTTACTCCTTCTCCTTCTTTCTTTATTCCTGAATGCTTTTACATATAAGATAAACCTTCTTCTCCTCCTCCTCTCCCTTTTCTCTCTTATTTTTTTGCTACTCCTCTTGCTCTATCTTCTTCTTCTTTTTCTTCTTCTTCTTTTTCTTCTTCTTCTCTTCCTCTTCCTCCTCCTTCTTCATGCCTTGTCCTTTTTTTGGAGCCCTTTATTCTTGAATGGTTGTCCATATAAAATAAACCGTCTCCTCCTCCTCTTCATTCTTCTTCTTCTTTTTCTTCTTCTTCTCTTCCTCTTCCTCCTCCTACATGCCGTGTCCTTTATTGAAGTCCTTTATTCCTAAATGGTTATCCACATAAGATAAACCTTTTTTTCCTCTTCTTCCTTCTTCCTCATTCAGAGTCTCTTTCGAGACCTGGGCGAATAAGAAGTCTCTAGAATTTCCTAACCTTCTCAACCTTAAACAACTTTTGTCCGCTCACCATTCTCCCAGTCAGTGTCCACTCTGCCAGGCATTCGGTGACTTACTCGACGTTTCCTTATACCCTCTTGCCTTCAAAATATCCCTGTGCGTGTCAAATTCTCCAAGCTCCTTTTCTCTCATTATTCGTCCCAGAAATTTCAACTGTCACTTTCTGAGTCTTAATATAAGTGTCCTTTTTCTTTTCCGATTTTCCCTAAAACATCCTCGTCACTCACATGTTCTGTCTATGGTATTCTCAGCATCCTTCTGGAGAACCACATCTCTACTGCTTCAAGTCTCCTCTTCTTCTGTGACGATACACTGCCAAATATCCAACAACTTGGCAGTAACCGTGACCGTTTCAGCTCGCTGAACTACCTGCCAAAAGTAACTTTAAGCTTAACTTGGGGTGTGCGAGCTGATGCCCACTTTAAATATAAACAGCTCACTATGTATGGTACAAGACTATGCTTTCTGAAGATTTGCTGCGCGAGTTTTCTGTGGGGGGATCTCCGTGATAGCAACACTGAGGTAACAAATAAAGAACGAAGATAACCCCTAAAAGAAAAAATATAGATAATTAAATTAATTGAATACTTCAGACATGTTCAAGTACTAAGTTGGTGATCATGGCTCTCTACAACTTCTGGTACTTTGTAGCTCTTAATAAATTTTCTAATCAAGAATTTTTTTCCTAATTATGTGCCCTAGAAATTTCAACTGCCTCTTCCTGATGTGAAGTATAAGTGTCTTTTATGTTTGCATTGTCGCTAAAACGTCGTCGTTTGGTCTATAGTATTCTCAGCATCCTCCTGTAGGACGAGATTTTTGTTGCTTCAAGTCTCTTCTTCATCTGTGAGGAGATTGTCCAGCATTCACAGCCATATAAAATTACTGATATTACATAAAAATCCAGTACTCTTTTCTCTGTTCTAACGAAATTTTTCTGTTTTTTAATACGTTAGATAGATAGATAGATAGATATGAACAGACTATGAAAGATACGAATAGATAGATAGATAGATAGATAGATAGATAGATAGATACGAACAGACTGCGATAGGCTGAGATAGATTTGAACAGGTAGGGATAGATAGATACATAGATACGAACAGAGTGAATAAGATGAGATAGATAGATAGATAGATAGATAGATAGATAGATAGATAGAAATTCATATGAATAAGCTGGGATGTGTAGTGTTACAATATACTCATCGAAAACAGAAATGATAAGTACACTTCTTTCTGTAAAAACCTTTTAAAATTAATACAAGCCTTCGTCAGAAAAACAAAATGAATGCAAACTCCTCTACAAATACGGCCATAACGTACTGGCTGTTTTCGGGAATTAAAAAATATGTGTATATTTCAAATAATTACACTCGATTTACATCAGCAAAACCAAAAATCATTAGCCGAAATTGATGGGTATAAAACATTTTCATAATTTCTAGGTCGATTAAGTGCAAAAGTAGATCTCTTGTTTGCAGAAAGAAAAAACGAAAAAAACTGCTGGAAAGATGTACATTTCTCAGTCATTTTTATTTTGGACTTCCGGTGGGAGGGAGTTGTCTCACTTAGCGAATGTCCAACTTAAGGGGAGATCCATATAGGTGAGACTTGTGGGCTCAGTTAACCCAAGCAAAAGGACCCTTGGTTCTAATGTCTCTGGTCATTATTTAAAACCCTTTTAAGTACGTGCAAGTGATTCGTTTTTTACGGCTTATCAACTCCTTGCAAGTTATTTAAAAACAAAATATTTTATATTCTAAGAATTTGTTTTGGGAGGATAATAATGGTTTAGTAATACAAGTTTTACTAATTGTCATATAGGAAGAAAATGACTAACTACCTACCGACACCGGGGTTCGAGCGTGTCACTCTGGACTTACGAATATATATATATATATATATATATATATATATATATATATATATATATATTTAAAAATATGATTCCAAATCGCTACATAAGAGGTCTCATGTTTCAAAACAAGAGCCGAAAAACTTCAATATAATCCTTTAAATTGAGTTTAAATTAAAATGGGCTCCGTTCCATCTTCAAGCGAAATTTTTGTTGGAATAACGTATATCTGAAATTTACTTGTTTTAAAAAATTGAAATCAAAATCTCCATGGTAACAGCAAGGGCGAATTGTTTAAATTGGGTAGGCGAGTGTAGGGTGTTTATAATAAGTAGCGGTATAGAGATACTTTCAAGATGTCAAGTCGGGGAAAGGTGGGAGTGTCTAAAATGAAACGGAAGATGTATTAACCTTCGTCTAGTTTGCTTGTCTATGGAGATTTATTTATTTATTTTATTTTATTTTATTATGAAAGGGAATTGTGCATAAAAAAAAAACAAAAAAACTTTCGTAACGTTTGTTTTTTGACGACTTCATAAAGGGTTATCTATTATGTAAGGTAATTAAACTACTTATTTGCGCTATGGAGTTGTATGCATGTTTGTAGTTCCTATTTTCTATATATTTTCTCATATATATATATATATATATATTTAATGAACAACAGACACTTTAAGGTACCATTACAATAATTTATTTCACCAAAATTCTTTTTAAAGGATTTTGGATCATCAGGTAACACTTCCAACAATGAAATGACTATATATATATATATAATGTTTTCCGCTAGGTGTATAAATAGCGATGTCAGGCTGCTGACTGAATGATTATTGAGTGGAACTATCCAGTTGAATTAGTGTGAATTATTGTGTGTCAAGGATTTGGGTTTTAATTTCGGATTTACCGGACGTAAAGTCGAATTGCACTACTAACAAGCTATTCACTGAAATGGTTAATTATCTTTAGTTGACTTTTACTTCTTTGTTCTTGTTACGTATTTATTTGCGGTTGTAATTGAATACTGTTTTATCTTAACATTGAAGTCTTGAGTTATACTTAATTATTAACGTCCACTGTACGTCACAAAACTAATTAAACCATATCTGGGAGGGGGAAGACGTGGATTCATGAACTTTTTGATGAAATCGTTTCTCAACTTGGATTCAATGATGATGACAAAAACATTTACTTCTGTCTCGATAGTAAGTCTGATCAGTTTCATGGGATCAAATTGGCAGCTGTTCTGAAAAATGGCTTACAGTCTGTTGTTAACTGGGACAAGGAATGGCATGTTAACTTGAATACCGTCAATTTTTCTCTATTAATCTTCTGTGAACCACCCCCTACCTTCCAGTGACTCATTGCGCCTTCGCATGCTAACATTGTTCAGCTGACATGAAGTGTAAAGATTATACTGAATTAATTGCTAGATCTGCTGCTATGAAAGTTGGTTCACTGTGTAGTGCTAGACAATTTTTCTCTCCAGAATGCATCTTATATATTAATAAGTCTACCATGCGTTCATGCTTTAAATATTGCTGCTATATATGGTCTGGTTCTCCTGCTATATATTTAGAGATTCTTGATAAAATCCAAAGAATCAGCAATATTGTAGGTCCTGACCTGGCGTCTCGGCTTCAGTCACTTTTCCCCTGCTTTCCTAAACCTTTTCTATAAATATTTTCATTGTTGCATAAATTATATGACAATTTATCTATCGCATCCTGTATTTAAAAATACTTGATAAAATCCAAAGAAGAATTAGCAATATTATAGGTCCTGACCTGGCGTCTCGACTTCAGTCACTTTCCCCATCGCCGTTATGCAGCTTTTCCGTGCCTTTTCTTTAAATACTTTTATGGTAATTGTTCATTCTCTTTTGCTAACTAAACTTGGCTACAAGGTCTTATTTTACATTTTAAATGGCTAGATATAGCCGTAAGTTCTATGCTAACAGTTTCTTCTCTCACACTTCTGGCTTATGGAACTTTGCCCTGAACTCTTGCTTCCCAGCCAATTTTGATCTTCAAAAATTTAAATGCAATGTCAATCGTTATCTTCAGTCTTCTTGAATCCTCTTTTTTTTAAATTGTTCTCGCTCCTTAATAATGCTTCTCTATATTCTTCTTTCTTTTCTTTTTTTACATTCAGAAATCCATTGTGTCTTAGTGGCTTTACTGCCTTGCATGGGATGAAATGATTAAAAAAAATGAATGCAGCTGATCTTTCAATTCATGCATCTGCAGGGAAACAGACAAAGTATTGCTTACAATATGTTATAAATATAAATAATAAAGACAATAGTATGAAAGATGTATAAAATTACAATCAGTTCGTTGTTATTTTTTTTTAAGTTGAGACTAAATCAAATTGCTTTTAAAGTTAGCTAATTATGCATTTTTCCAGAATTCTTGTGAATGTGGAAAGCATCTGGTCTGGTGTTCCTGTTATGTATCTTCAGATTCTTGACAAAAATCTGAGGAGGGGTCTGCAATGTTATTGGTCCTGACCTGGTATCTTGGCTTCAGTCATTTTCCCGCCACCGTAACGTAGCTTCCCTGTGCCTTTTCATGGCAATTGTTCTAATTCGTTTTCCTCCTTAGTACCAGGACCTCACGCAGTATTAGATTGACAACTAGATCTCATCCCCATCTTACTTGTGAAATTCTCTACCGGATTTTTGCTTTCCTGTCAAGTGTGATTGTCAAAAAATTTAATCCAACATCAATCGCCATCTTCTATCGTTCTTAATTCTGTACTTTTATTGAACTTTCTCCTCGCTAAAGTTTTATTAGTAGCCTTAGTAGCATTATCGCCTTGCTTTGGGTGAAATGATTAAAAACAACATGTAGTAAGCCTTATCTATTTGTAAAATAAAAAGTTTTGGTTTTATTTAAGGCTGCTGCAGAAGCCGATACATTTACCAGCCACGTGCAGTAGGCCTTATCGACTTGATGTTAGGGTCGTTGACGTTTCTCTATGGTAGCGTTGTCCTCCATTGAACCATAGACTTTGTCCCGATTTAGCACCCGGTGCGACAAGGTCTGCTTAGGTGTGCCGTCTTTCTTTTGCTGGCGGCTGTTAAGTCGCTTCTATTTCTTTTAGAGTTTCATATTTTTATTTAATAATATTATTGTTTAATTTTCGCATTACCACTAATACATTAGTCTAAATACCTCCACTATTTCGGCATAAATTTTCTATATTGAAGTTTAAAATGAATTTTTTACTATGAAAAAACATTCTTGAAGATTTCATTTTAGCTTTAATTGAAAGTTTAATAACTAAATTTACGATTTCTATTAATAAAACAATTCTGGTGTATTTCAGATAGAAACTATATACTAAGCATGTCCACTGTTTTCGCGGGAAAAACAGCATAGCGTAAATGAAAATGCCACAAACTTAAAAAAATAAAGTATTATCGTCAAAATGCTTATGTTATTATTTAGATGAAAGAAAAAGTATTTTTAATTATTTTTTGAAATTTTTTAATATTTTTAAAAAAATTTTGGTTAAAATCGTCTTTTTTACGTCATCGCGGCGACGTTTAAAATAACATAGTTTTTTGCGTTTTTTTCGTTGAAAACATATTGATTTGGAAATTCTTGTAAAAATAAAAAAAACCAATTATCAATCTTAATGAAATTTTCAGGACTTATTCACAAATGAATGAAATTATTTTGAAATATTTTTTTAGAAAAATTTTGGTAAAATTATATTTTTTAAAATATGTTACCCCACATTTACTTAATTTAATGAAATTTCTAAAACCTTTTTAAAAAAAATTTTTTTTTATTTGAGTCTTCGAAGATGGTAAATAATACTTTTCTTAAAATAAAAATTATTTACTGAAAATCTGCTCTAAATGAAAAAAAATCAAAGAAAACTATAATTTTAAAATTAGAAACTATTTTTAAACTTTAAAAAAGAAAATACAACTTGTCTGAAAAATAATTTTTTCTGATGAATAATTAATTTTTTACAAAATTTTTTTCCTTTTTAGAAATTTTAATTATAATTAAAAATTTATAATAATTTTTTAAAATGGTGTAAATTTCTGTATAGGATTGGGTTCCTCGAAATATTAAACTAATTAAGTAAGCTAAAAAAAATTTACAACATAAAAATTGCTAAGTTTAATAAATTTACGTTGCGCTACTTTTTTAAATTTATTTTTTTAGCAAATTATTTTTTAAAACGGTAATTCATTTTTTCCATTAATAATGATATAAAAAAATTGCCATTATTATAACAAGGTAATATCGAATCTGATTTTAAAGAAAACTTATAGCCAAAACATTTCGTTTATTAACAGATTGTATTTTCCGATCAGCTTAAAAAGTGTAAACTTTAAATTTAAATTATTTTTCTTTTTTTTATATTTAAAA